TTTTTTTTTTTTTTTTTTTTTTTTTTTGAAAAAAAAAAATTATATATATATACTTTTTTTAATTACTGACTGGTTTGGTTGTAGTTAAATGAAAATAAAAGTATTTTTTATATGAGGGATGTTTTTTTTTTATAAGTTTACACAATAAATATATACATGTGTATAATATATATATATATATACACACACATATATGTAGATACCGATGGTAAGAATAAAAAGTTGGGTATGACATTAAATTAATTTGTATAGTGAACTTTGGAGCTTATGAAATGGAATCTAAATTAGGTATAGATGAAGATAAGTTGGTCTAGTCGAACAGCATAATATCACATACCTTTCAGTAGAATAAAAATAACCCGACAGCATAATATCACATGCTTTTTAGTAGAATATAAATAAATAACCCGACATGCCATCATACATCATAAATCATCAAAAAGACGTAGTAAAACTGCAACAACGGGATTTTTCTTTTCAAAAAAGAAAAGATAGTGAAAAAAAAAGAAGTAATAGTTTTACTAATTACTAATAAATTTATTTGTTTTGATTTCTAACTTCTAACAATACTTTCATATCTAGTAAGATCAAAACAAAGTTTTTAAAAAATTTTGGTTTTATTCTCAAAAAAACCAAAGAAGTTCCTTTAAAAACTAATTTTTATAGTTTTAGAAAATAATGGAAAAAGTAAAAAATACAATAAATTTTCAAAAACTAAAAACAAAAGAATTAATGGGTAACAACCAGGCCTAAAAAGCTGGGATCGCAGTTAAAAAGTAAAAAGTAATATGAGAAAAACCACATTTTTAACCTATCTTAGTAAGAATCAAGCAAGAAAATAACGTACCAGATTGATGTTCTCTTCAGCAAAGCTGTAGCAGCCTTCCCAAGAACATAAGCACAACAAAAGATTACTAAATATGCAGTAAATGAGAATATCTTTAAGGTTCTTGCTTCCATCTGGTAATCACAGAATCGTACAAGACGTTTAATAATACACCGGTACCGTACGACAAGCATGGAGGTAAAAACATATACATCACAAGAAATTTAGATCGAAATATCGTTTCCCTCGTATAAATGTTGCGGTCCTTCCATACCATACCCATTACATCCAACCAAAAATATAAAACAACCTAAATACACATACTTGCTAACTGACTATGACAAGAAAGAAAGGAAAAGAAGAAAGAAACAACAAACACTTTTAACGGGAAACCTATTTGTGGAGTACAATCCATTCTCAGCTACAGAACTCAATAAATGCAGATACTAAGAGAGCCAACAAATGCCTCCAAGACTTCACCTATCCTCTTTTACCAAACAAGAATATCAGAGACTCCTAAGTCAGAAGACAGAATTCAATCCACTTACCAACAGATTTGATACTTTCTTCCCCTCCAAAGATTTATCTCATCTTCAGTTTATTATCCTCACAAAAGTTGGAGCTATATTTTGAACGGCAGTTCTAAATAACATTCAACACATGATCATCCTAATCAAAGTATTCCGACAGGTTATAGAAAAAGTAGGTGTTTAAAAAATGAGTAGTCATTTCCATGATGTGCAAATTATAAGTGATGCCATGAGATGAGATGAGATATGCTGCTATCTTACAAAGTGGTTAAACCTCAATTGTAAATGATTGGATAATAGCTAGCTGTGCTCAGACTCTTGATCTCTCTATGGAAACGAAAAGGTAGAAGGTATACATGCAAGCTTTTCCATAGATTGAGAGTTCTCCATTAATCCTACATTACTACAATCAGTAAAAAGAAAATCCTACCATAAAAGGGAACAAGAAGCTAACAAATAAAAACTAAATTCTAGTTAGAAAACTAAAAACCTGATGATATTGACTCAAATAAATTCAAGATGCGTTAACTTCTCTAATACTAAAGGCCAATTTGACAAAATTAGTAAATTTCAACCAGTCAGTGTATGATGTTACCAATTCACACAGAAACTTAGCACTGCCGTTCAAATGATATCATGAACATCCAACTTGTCATGTCACAGAGAAGATAAACTGAAGATGATAATCAAAACGTTGGAGGGTTAAAAACTTCAGAAATTTCTGATATTCTTAGTAAACTGTAAGATAGGCTTGAACTATGGAGGTATTTGCTATTACTATAACACCTAACCAGATAATTAACATCCTGACACAACTGAACCAAGGGAACCTCTTCTCCCAGTAATACCTAGTACAGCACCTTGCAGTATTGAATCTGCTCGTAGAATGGAAGACTTTCGCACTACATAATCATATAAAGGAATGCACATGGGTATGGAAGCCATTACAGGGAAGGAACCCTAACCAGGATACTAGACCTGCCATAGAAAGAAATCAACCATCAGATAAGATAACACAGGTTAAACAAGAAACATTATACATTGGGTTAAGATGCAGTTTCTACAGCCTGAATGCCAATCAGATTCTTAAAAAACACAAACCACCAAAAAAATTTTACAAACAAAAGATATCTTGCCATCAAAAGGGAATGTTCTTTTCAGGCACCACCTCCAACCTTGCCTGATGGGAGTAAGAGCATTGGAGAAAAGTCTACACTACAGTTCCCTAATTCCTACTAGATAGAAAAGTAAACTTAAATAGGGTAACAATACCGTCTCAACGTTTCCTTTCCCATCCACTTGTGTGAGAGAGTTCGATGTTGAATTAGAAAACCTGCACCACATAAAATAAAGAGAAAAACAAACGATATGTTATAGATGCATTATTTCTAATGTTTACATACTCCATGCACAATCTTCACAAACCATAGATGACAGAACTGGAAGCGTTTCATTTAACTACAACCAAACCAGGGAAGCAAAATTTCAAGCCCAATACCTAAGTGCCCTTGCTTTCCTCTTTTCCTCCTCCTGGGTGTCTGGCTTCGACGATGAAAACCTCGCAAGGCGTGCTTTCTTCTTTGCCTCATCCTCAGTAGTCACTGATGCAGAAAGCCCAAACCTAAAAAACCAAAAAGATTAGAAAAAGATTGAAAGGTAAGATGAATGAGCAAAAGTCAATAAATACAATTTCTTTATTCGACAGGGGGAACTTCAATCCATAAGACATAGTACAGACCTCTGAGCTCTAGCTTTTCTCTTCACCTCCTCTGATTTATTTGATGCTCCCAACCCATTTTTTGTGGTACCCATACCAAACCTGTAATTGTCCTCAACAATCAATATGATAAATGTTTTATAGAAAAAGAAAAAATACATGACTCTTAACAGAACTTGGAAAATTAAAGATAAAGGTGAATATTTTAATAACAGAAACAAGAAGAAAGAGAGCACCAATATAAGCCCCAATAATGAATTAAGTCCCACATAACATCCCAATATTTCAACTTATCTAAGAAGATTTTAGCACAACCAAACTTACTACAGAACACCCAGGAAAAGACAAGACCAAAAGGCTCTCACATTTAAAGAAGTGCCAGAGCGTTGCTGCTTCGTGCACTGAGAGGCACAAGTAGGGAAGTACCGAGATAGATGGAAAGGGCATAACAAACCATTCCAAGCTTCCCTTGAGAATGGATAGGAGAGAAGGAAAGGGCTACCACTTTCCTTTTTTTTTTCTCTCATGTAGATATAACAGTGAATGATATTTGACATATATCAATACGCCAGTCCAATCATTTTGGATTTAAAATTACACCATTCCGAGTAAAATTTCAACCCATTACCAGAATATGAACAGTAAGATTGTGCAATAAAACCTATACATCTGACTAAATAATGATACAGTGTTGATATGCTCCAGAAAATCTTAATCTACAAGTACCCAATGACCTCGTAACTGCATACGCAAACCATAGGTCAAACTTATGACGGGAGATATATAAAATTTTGAGTTTGTCAAAATCCCTACTCAGGAAGTTCATGATATAGTAACGTAATATTAATACCAGTGACTTATCATTACACTTGTCCGTAAAAAGAGAGAAAACAAATAGATTCAAAACAATCACAGGAAAAGAAGTATAAAGAAAGGCATAATCTCCAAGTAGATTCAAATTCGCATCAGCACAAGGATGCAAGACATGCATGCACCGTAGAGCAGAAACTAAAAAGGAAAAACCGTTACCGTTCCGCTCGAGTGTTACGTTTTTCTTCTTCAGACAATTGCACTGAAATCCCAAAACGCTCAGCGCGGCGCATCTTCCTCTGGATATCAGAAACCGATGCACCATCCCCTTCAACCAAAACCTTATCGGAGCCCTTGGGTTCATCCCTTTCCTTGGAAAGTCCGCCATCAGTTGACGACGGAGGAATAGAGGCAGGAGGCTGGGCGGAGGAAGAAATCGCAGGGTCTAGGGCTTGATTAGGGTTTTCTCCAACCGGATTCTTGCTATTACTGATGTCACTGAGTCCTGCAGATGCTACTGTCGTCATTGGAAGCGCAGATTTGAGGCCGGAAACCTAGTCGGAGACTGCTTGCAAACCACGAACGCTACAGAGGCGATTTGCCGCGTAAAAGAGAGCGCCGAGCGGATTTCTATCTCTGTTTCAGTCTCTGGTCAGATATAAATTCGCATCAGAAAGAAAACAGGTGAAACTTTCCTTTTCTTAATGCCACGTGGTGGATTTTCATTGGACAATCGGAAGTGATTTTCCAAATTTAGCCCGTCATGCGATCTACCGACTTTTCTCCGTAAATAAAAATGTTGTAAATTGTTTTTTCTTTTAATTAAATTAAAATTAAAATTTGTTGGCAAGAATAAAAAATAATTCATCTTTAAAGTTATATTGAAAATAAAAAAAAATGACAAATTTCTTTTAATTAACTAATTTTTTAGATATTAATTTTTTAATTTTATATTAATAAATTTGTGAAAAAAATCAAATAAATCAAATCTAAATTTAAAATTTTAAAATTTTAAAAATTTATTAAACATAAAATTAAAAATAAACAAAATTGAAATTTTAGGGATGAAATAGATAAAATTGGAAAGTTTTGAGATTAATAATTTAATAAAAGAATATATTTAATTTAAAATTGGTTATTTAAATTTTAATTATACCATTTTAAAATTTTGTGGGTATAAATTAATTTTTATCCGAAATATTTATTTAAAAATGTTTTTAAGAGAGAAAATCCGAAGACTGTGAACGACGTGTCGACAAGAAGACGAAAGCCATTCGATATGTCGATATGGTAGACCTGTTTCTCTAACTCAGCGTCATGGAATGAAGCTCCGAAAAAACAATGGATAAGATTCGTTAAGCCTCAGTCTCTGGTGTTCGAAGCGGTGGAAATGGCTTCAATCGTCCACCATGGTCTTCAAATTTCTTCCAAGATCGATTCTCCATGGCTCAGGCTTTCATCGCAGCTTCATTTTCATCCTCGGACATCGGTTGAGATTGTCCATAATCGCGTTCCTCAATTCTCTCCAGGTTGCGCTCTTCCCTACTCTCTCTATACTGAAGATCGGCGTTAATCTCATCGAGTGTGTGTGAATTCGTATTTGTAGTTATCATTAATTGCCGTCGTGCTTCGCGTTCTCTGATTCGACGTGGCAGTCGAATCGAGAGGGAAGGTGATCCATCTACTGCAGGTCAGTGAGAGTTTCATCTAGTTTTTTTATTAGGTTAATGGAGAAATTTGTGCATGATTGTTTTAATTAGACTTGGATAATAGAGAGACGTTTTTCATTTGTGGTTGCTCGTTCATCATACGATAACAGTGAGACAAATTTGCAGAAGCCGATAAGGCCGAGGGGACCGAAAGTAAAGTTTCTTCAATTAGGAATGTTGCTTTATGTGTAAGCATTCGTTGATCTTTAATTTGTGGATGATCGAATAGTTTGGCTGTCATTTGATTTGTAAGCTATTTTTCATTTTCTGTTATAGGTTGCTAGTGCACTGGCATTTGGCATCGGGGTGGGCTTGAAAGATGGAGCGGGCAAGGCATCTGAATTTTTCGCTGGGTATGTTGCGTACTGCATACTAAAGTTGTCTCTCCATTAAAGACAAAGACACAATTCCTTAAGTTGTCTGTCCTCTTTTAGCGAATTGTTGATACGACGACAAATGGAATCGGATTGAATGGAATGCGAATTATAACTTCATTGGTAATGGGAAATAAAAAAAATGGCTGTTTACGGGAGAACATTATACAGAATGCAATTTGCACTGCTAGGTCCCGTAAGTTCTGGTTACATTGGTACTTGGATTCATGAAAGATAAAAAGTTTGAACTGTTCATTACATGGAAGTGTAGAAGGACTGTGCAGCTTAATTAGGACAAGAGGGCACGTATATGTTTATACACTTGATACTATGATACGAGCTTTGATCTTAACTTTGTTTATCGTCAGATCATAGATGTGACTTTAGCTGCCTCGTTTGAAGAATTTACTTTTATGCACCTTGAGGAATGAACTCCACTCTGTTCTTTCCTACTTTTTCTCAAACGAACACAAAGAATCACGTATGCTGCGTAAGCCGTAGCGCGTGTACTCTTCCTCGAGAACCATATTTTAGTTTCAGTGTTTATTCTTAGATGTGGAGATTTGGATGATGCCTTAACTCATGATTGCGTGAACTAGAATGCTTCACTTTATTATCCTTCTTTTTGCTCTATTAATGCCTTATTTTATGACAATTTTCAGGTATCTTCTTGAGCAAAGTTTGTCAGTTGACAATCTTTTTGTTTTTGTTTTGATTTTCAAGTACTTCAAAGTGCCAATCGAGTATCAGGTGCTAACTTTCTGCAAAGTTGTCGATAATTAAGTTTCTCCTTCGCTTGCAAACTATTAATATGATTTTTCTTTATAGTATAATTTGATGACTATGCATCTTGATGATTTGTTGGTTTGGAAATATAGAATCGGGTGCTTACATATGGTATTGCTGGTGCAATTGTCTTTCGTCTGACAATCATACTTCTCGGAACAGCCACTTTGCAGGTAACTTTCTTTTCAATGTTATATTCCACTTTGCTTATATGGTCTACCTGAGACTATATCTACTGTTTCAGAGATTTGAAGGAGTAAACCTGCTTCTGGCTGCCATACTTCTATTCTCATCTTTTCAGGTTGATTTTTAAGTTTTTCATCTTGTCCCCCACGTTTGGTTATTAGGATCTCTTACCGTAAATGTATGACTTTCTGCAGTTATTTGCCAGTGATGAAGAGGATGACAGTGATCTATCAGACAACTTTGTAGTAAAGACGTGCCAAAAATTAATCCCTGTGGCAGGTATTCTGCAATTATATTCGTGTTTCTTTCTTCTGCTGGAATGTGGACTCGTGTTGTGCTTGGTCATTTGTCCTATTTTTTTAGCTTACTTATTTATTAAGAGGAAGTAGAGACTAGACTCCTTTGCACCTTTTGTGCATGTATGGTGCAAGAAAAATTGCGAACCTCATCAAAATGATGATTGATTTTCCTTAAAATACTGTTTATATTTTGCTTGGCAACATATGAAGCTATTGAGAGGAGTTATCTATATATAAAGGGGGAAAATAAAAATTTCTTGCAGTAGAATGGATATTTTTCCAAGCAAACTTTTTTTCACTTTTTGTTAATTATACAAGAAAACAATGTGTGAAAGTGTTACTTTTTCAGGTCTGTTTGGCTAGCTTACAGTCAAATGGGTTTTGCCTCGTTTTATGCTAATGGTTAGATCTTACTTCCCCTGTTTAATTGTTGCAGCTAATTATGATGGGAATCGCTTTTTTACACTTCAGGAGGGTGTTAAGAAAGTAAGTCATGATGGACTAGGTCAAGCATGTGAAAATATATTGTTGCTTTTCGGAATATTATTGATTATGCTTTCTTGTAGTGTAAGATAAGAGTGCTTAAATTTTTTCTTATTGAAAAGCATGTCACATCATTCTATTAAAAGCTTGTGAATCTATTATATAAACTTATTTTTCACATGATTTCTAACAGGTCTCGAACATTTTGGACAGGCAACACCTTTACTTCTCACCGTAGCAGTAATTGAGCTCAGTGATATAGCATTTGCAGTATGTTTTTCATAATCATGCTATACATGTAATAGGATATCTTTTGACTTTACATTTTTAGTTTACGGAAATGCTCAGTTAACGTTCCTTTTTCTTGAACTTGGTGCTAGGTGGACTCAATACCAGCAGTTTTTGGTGTTACAAGGGACCCTTTCATAGTGTTTACGTCTAATCTTTTTGCCATTCTAGGTAATTCTGTTGTCCTTCCTTTGTACTAACCTCTATGTGTGTATTGTTTTTTTGGCGGGGGGGTGGAGATGATGTAATTGACGTTGATGTTTTCTTACTCTTTACATCTCGAGATATGAGCAGTAGATGGCAATGGGATAAAGAGTTTTCATTGCTATTATTAAATCAAAGAACACATTTTTGTTCATTTATTTCCTTTATCAAGTTTAAAGTAACTTTGGTTTGTATGTCTTCTGGAATTTAAGTTTCTGAAGATGCATAGTGACCACAATTTTGATATACTGCAGGTTTGAGATCCCTATTTGTGCTTGTATCTGATGGTATGTCAGAATTGGAGTACCTACAGGTAAAATATTAGTCTTGTACAAAATCAGGAGAGAGTCAAGTTTAAAATGGTGGAGTTGGCACACCTCAAGTTTAAATGTCTTTTGTGAAAGTCGAACGAGCATACCATTGATATAGAGTAGGATTTCAGATGATTTGATTAAACTGCAAAAAATTTTAAAATCGTTTGAAACAATCAGATGGTCTTATATTTGTGGACAAATACTATGGCCCATCCTGTGATTTTGAAAGCAGTTTTGGCGTTTCCATGTAACCGATGTCTTATTAGTCACTCGGTTGTACTATTATGAACGTCCACTGAAGGAAATTCTCTCATTATTTTCTATCTCCTTCCAGCCGTCTATTGGTGTTGTTTTGGCATTTGTTGGGAGTAAGATGATCCTGGATTACTTTGGTGAGCACTTCCGCGAATTAGATATTTCAAATCTGTTAGGACTTGGATATGCATTTCAAAATTCTAGGACTCATTGATCTGTTTTCCTGCAGGATTCCACGTCCCAACTGAGGCATCTCTTGGTTTTGTTGCATTAAGTCTGAGCACTGGGGTCCTGTTGAGTGTACTGAAGAAGTCTGATTGATCATGATAACAAAAAATACAGGTATTTTACTTCAATTGAATCTAGTTTTTGCTTCTTCATTTTTGTTTTTTTTTTAAAAAAAACAACCCTAAATTCAAGCTCCTAAGCTGAAAACTAATTAACTTAAATCCCTAGTTTCAAGCTTGTAAGTCGAAAACTTCATAACTCAAAACTCTTATTCAATATAGCTAGTGAGTAGACCATGAGCATAATACAAAAATGTAGAAATGTAGGGAGTGAACGATGCTCCTCCAATTATCAAAAAGTGGGAAGAAAAAAAAAACAAAAACTACAATTTAGAGCATATGTCCCGTGTGCATCCGCTTGTACTTTACTTTAAGTGATTTTTGTAACTTTGTACAAGTTACTTCATCTCTAGTCTTAGGCACAAGTTTTTTTTTTTTTTTTTTGGAACTTATAGTTTGCTTCGAATCCTCCATGGGAAGCTCTGTTGATGTAGCTCTGGTTTGTGAGGGGGGCTTCTCATTGTGTGGTTTATAGATCCTTGTTTCTTCTAAAATAAATACAAAAAATCAAACACTATTTTATAGTATAACGTTAGAATTTTCCTACATTCTGATTCTTATGTCCATGGTTGCTAGAATTTTGTGTCAAAATTGTCACACAAGAACGTGTCACTGGAGCCTTGCCTGTAGGCAGTAAAAGAAAAAAGGATGCGCATTCTGCTATGCTGTCTACAAAAACTGGAGGCTAGAAGAACCATTTTTTCTTTTTACCAGTCTTGATTGTTGTGCTGAGGATGAATTTCCTCTGTTATTTGCAAATAATTCCAAATCTCTCTCTCAAACGAAGTTCAGAACCTTTCTGTAGATCTGAGCTTTTGGACAACGTACAAATTTTTATGCAAAAAATGTGATGGTATCTTTCTGCTATCAAGTTGATACCTTCCTCCACATGAAATTACTTCCTTCATCTTTACTGATTTTGCAATTACTAACTGATCGAAGCACACTTAACTATTTAAGAATATTATTATTGGCAATTTTGTTTTGTAATTTGATTCGATTTGAACTTTTATTAATTTTAGAATGACAATATGATTTAAATTAAGTTTACAAAGAACTATACTATCGATGATTGATTTTGTTCAGCACACATTTAAAATAGTGAAGAGAAATCAATAGTACAAACGTTATAATCTTTTAAACACATTCATCTTGAGTTATAAATTTTCATGCTACAAAATCTGTATAATTTCTTTTAAATAATCATTTTTCCCGACACGAGAATGAAAAGGGGTTTAAATCAAAATTTAGAGTATGATCCATTAAAAGAATTTGAACTCTCACTCCAAGGTGGTATAATTTATTTCACAGAACTAAATTTATTTCCAACCATCGAAATGTTTTCCAGTAAACATAATATTGAATATAATTGGAAAAAGTAGCTCTTAGTCCTTGATTTGCATCTAAGATCGGAAAAGAAAAATCCCATGAGCCAGCCTTAAGAGGAATTCGAGCCCTATATTCAATTTTTGATCCGACTTTATGGTTTTGTTAGACTTTAGGCGAGGTTTGTCTTTGACAACTGAACATTACTTCTTTCTAGAGGTGTATTTGGGACGACTTTCTTGATTACAACAACAATAACATCACCAATATGACCATATCGTCGATTACTAGCCCCTACGATTCAAATACACATCAATTCTCGAGCTCCGTTGTTATCTGCTACATTCAAAAGGGTTTGAAGTTGAATCATATTATTTCAGAATCTTTTCTTTCCATGCAAAGGGCTAAGTAAAAAGAAAGAAGAAATCTTCTATTGACCGCTTTCCTTTGATGGGGACAAAATTCAAGCTTGTTCAACTATTGTTCAACTACACACGCGGACTATCGCCTATACACTGGATGACTTGATCTTTATGTTACATAAATTGTTGCAATGATTGTATCAACAGTTTTCAATTGTGACTTGGTCAATAATATATCATGGTTTTCAGATTTTATTCAATTTAAAGTAATATATTAGTCATTTTAGAAATTTCTATGTCTACAATTTTATTTACACATCTTACAATATCAAGAATTTCATACATTTAATTTAATTATAATGTTGAAGGTAACAATTTCATTCATTTGATTAAATTAAGTTCAAGTTTTGCAATTAATGTACAATAAATGATATACAGCGGCCGACAAGAATAAGGGGGAAAAAGTCCGTGGGAGTTGTTAATAAATTAAACAAAATGAGAGATGCACATGCGTCGTAGAGATCAGGATGTGGAAAGCTACACCGAACTTATTTAAAGAGGAATCAAATAAAAATTGATTTTGATTTGAGTTCTTTCTTCATGTCTAAATGGGACCCTACCATTTATCAATAGTTCGGTTGGATTTAGTTTATCAAATATTCTAATCCAAACTATACCAAACTAATCCATAAATTTAATAATTCCACCTCCAAATCCACTTTATGTTGGGTTGCAACATTGTAAGAGATCAAGTTATAACAGAGTTGGAACCGAAGAAAAATTACACGAAAAATTAGAAACGCGCTAAAAGAAAAGAGAAATATGAAAATAACAATATAAAGTAACTCAAATAGAATTAGCAGCAATATGATGGGAGAAATTGATACCTTTGTAATGAGCAGAAGCTACAAAGCATCCAGCCATTAGTGGTGTTGGTTGCACGTGGCTCGCTCGACATCGATGTCTGCAATAAGAATACATCATCGTATGAACTTTCTGATGCTATGACTTCGTGCCAGCGCTAAGGGAAGGAAGTTTCTCTATGATTAAAAATGAAACCACAACAAGAAAGCTATGTATCAAATGGTAGTAATGTGAGAGTTTTCCAGTTGTACAGAAGAGAAAGGAAAGGAGAGAGGAGGTGTAACAATGAATAATAATACACTCACATTGTGTCCAAACACAAACTAAAGTAGAGTTTTCTGATGCAGAAAGGCAGAAGGCCTTCTTGAATTAGAAGTCCAGTAGCCACTGGCAACAGAGTCCAGTTCAGCTTTTGTCTGTCTAATTTAGAATTATTAAGTAAAAACATCATTTTTCTGTCTAAAATGGTACACTCTAATTTTTCTATTTTCCCAAATGCACATGGACATTTCTTGTTAAAGGGAAAACCAAATCTTTGTTTGTTTACCAAAACAATGCCAATGGCTTTAGCCATCTCCAACATTGCTCGTGTTTTCGCTTGTGTTTTGTCTCACGAACTGTCCCTTCACACGGGGCCTCTGTTCTGCCAATTTCTTTCTGCCTTGGTATCGCACCTGCAGAGCAAATAGTATCTTAATATCCCTAAAGAATAAGTCAGAATCTCAGCAGCAAGACACAGAAGAAGGAAAGCATGACAATAGATGCATTTACTTCACAATGAAATGAAAGACCAATGCGAGACTTCTACTTCTGCATATTATAATTGATTAGAATTCCATTGGTAAGTTGGAACCTTGGGAAATCCATTAACATCAAATAATTTCTTTTCCAAGTGAAATCCCTTTTTTACTATGCCACAAATATGAATATATTGCGGCCCCACACCTGATGCATTGTGCTTGAAAGAAGTGATCGAGGTTTAGCAACCTCGAGTAGGATGTTTTATCAGACTATCATGTTATAACCATCAAGTATAGTTCCTATTTCATCTGAGAAAATAAAAAGGAATTCAAATTTTTATGCAACATTACCCAAAAAAGTAATTTCCTTTAAGATGAAATGTACAGAAATGCATGTAGTATAGACACGTGTTTGTATCCGTGCAGTGTTCATTCAAGGCGCAATTTCAGTGTCTGCGCTTCTCAATGACTTTCAGACTATTGGTAAAGACAGCACAAGTCGAAATAACAGTAAGGGAGGATAGAATTACTCTCCTCAAAGTACTTGTTGTTATGCTGATAGCTACTCTCTCAGTGAAATATGATACTAGCTGAAATCTAACGTGGGGCGGAGAAATATGATATTGACTGAAATTTAACATGGGGGTCGAAAATGAAGTGGAGGGTTCACACTGGACATAGAAAATGCCCCTAGAAATATGAATCACGATCTTTCCGAGCAAAGAACAAGACGAGGGATCATAAAATAGACATAACAGCCATTGGACTAAAGAGGGAGTAAGCAGCATTACCTTTTTATGGAAGCATCTTTCCTTCCGTTTCTGGCGAAACTTTGTCAAGGCTGCTTCCCTTTGTGAGACTTTGTCTTGGTCCACTTTGTTTCCACTTCCACTACCACTTCCACTGGCATCCCCACTTCGACTTTTCCGGCCTATTCCATTATCACTTTCCAGATTCAGCCCTCCAGCATTTACTGCAGTGCTGCTCCCATTTTGGCCATTGCTTCCATGGTTACTGCCCGAGGCGCTACCATTCACACTATAATTTGCTGCATTACCTTCTACAGGGCCATTTAACACATTGGATGACCCACAATGTGTCGCAGCTGATATTTTCTTTAATGAAAAATCATTACGCTCAGATGACTTTTGTTGATTATTTTGGGCAAGCAGATGAGTGTGATCATACGTTTGACAAAGTTGCTGAATTTGAGATTCCCCGTGCACACAATTAGACTGAGTTTGCATTGTTGTAATTGTACCGTTATTGGTAGTATCAGCTTGCTGAGGAACAGATAGACTGTCATTCTTAATAGGTTGGGCCAACGGGTTCAAACAGTTGACTGTTGATGCCATTGCTGACTTGTTATTAATGACTATGGACTTGGAAAATGCATTATTCGTAGTGGACCCCATGTCAATATTATTGCTATCTCCATTTGAGCATTGATTGGGAGGATTACCACTCGAATGAGATCGAATATCTTGCATGTTCTCTTGGTTTGTAACTTCTAAGCAAAGAAAAGGAGAAGAGTTACTCCCAGCATTCCCAGTTCGAGTCTTGTTAGAATTTGAGCCAGCATTGTACCTGTGAATGTATGGACAGTGAACTTTCATTGGTCAAAGTGGCAATTGCCTCAACATTTTGAAACAATATTTAGAAGGATGGACCATTTCTCACAAACCTAGAAAAAGCTGAAGAATCTGAGCGTCTCAAAACATTCCGCTCATCTTGGTCTGCTTTCCCTGTCGTTTGAACTCCTCTAAGCCTTTTTAATCCAAGCTCAAGGGATGGAAATTCTCCTGAATCTGTAACATCTTTATTCTTAATGTCTATCTTGGGATTGCTGGTTGGTGCCTCAAACACTGTGACACCCAACTTAGAATCTTTAAGATTTGTAGCAAGACCAGTAACATTTGTTTGTTCGTTAAACTGCTCATTAAATCCATTGGATCCTATCTCAAGCATAATATTCTGTTGTCTGTTAGCTAGCTTGGTTGGATGTTCCGCAGACAGTTCAAGTTGTAAATCTAGATTTATGTGCACGCCTAATTCAACTCTACCCACGGAAACAGTTTCTGAAGAAATAAATACAAGATATTACACGTATGGTTAACAGTTCATAAAGTTCTCAGACACAGCCCAATATTCGAACGCATACCAAGTTGCTTTTTCTGCACCTGGCACTCGGCTGTCAAAACAGGTGATACGTTATTACCAAATGCATCAGCATTTGAGTGGACAACTTGAGCACAAGTACTATCAGGACGTTCACGCTTTTGATCCCATGCTGATGCAGATACTGGTCGAGGGCTTTCAACCTCTATAGCTTGCTTGGTCCAAGAACTCTGCAGAAAAATAACAGGCCATTACCAAATTAGCAACCCCCCACAAAAAGCTTTCAACTGGATGATCTTGAAGGTCCTATCAATGGGAAAAAAGAATGTAACCACTTATCTGCCCTTTCATATGGTGACAAAAAACTCCGGTCACAAGATTGCTGCTAAAAGGATAAAAGTGCATTTGATCTGATCAAAGTGAGAAGGGGCACTAAAGTTGAAAGTCGTTGAGTAAGCTTATACCACAATATGCAATTTGCTTAGTGAAGGTGACACTACAACGAACTAGAAAGAGAAAGTGAAACTAGTTACTGTTGGCACTTCTGGGGATTTGGAGAAATCTTGGGAAAGGATTTGATCATTGGCAAGGCCTAATGCTTATATTTGAGAACCAAGACTCCTGCAGTTACCCATTATGTTTCCATATTGTGGATTGGAACTCCTTTTTCTATAGCCTGTTGTTTGGCTTCTTTAATTTCGGCTGTTTTCTGTATGCCTTTTTTGGCTTTTCCTTTTACGTTCTTTCAACTTTTTCCACAATCAAAGCTCAATGTCTCTTTTTTTAAAGGAAAAGGGGGGGGGGGNGGGGGGGGGGGGGGGGGGGGTTACTCTTCTTTTGGAAAACCTTCAGAATTTCGGACAGCAACCATCATTGATAAGCAACAGTCCTAACAGTTCCAAGATTGAAATTCAGTCATGTCAAGACTTTTAAACCAATCATATTATGTCAAAACAGATGATATTTTCAGGATTGAACTACATACTGAGAAGGATATTGATGAATATCGATTCCAATAAAGATAATAGATGAGGAAAAAAGAACGTACTTCTTGCCCGAGGGTAGGAATAAGGTTTCTGGTCAATCACTAGGTTGTTTTATGTGATACTCAAGTAAAGGAAGGGGTCCATGAATGAAACAAGACCACATCCAAAGGATAGAGATCAATCATTAAAAAAAAAAAAAAAAAAAAAAAAAATCTAAGATGCATGTGAGTGAAGACAAAACATGCTGAAAGCACTCATGTTGGTAGGTAGAAATAGTCTTCACTCTTAAGAAGTGAGGAGTAGCTAAAGTGACCATGTCGCAGGAGATGAAGTGGAATAGTGGGGCCATAAGGTGTCGAATCCTGATCTGAATCCTTGGCATAGGTCGTTACACTTTAGCTCTTAAAAGATTCCTACAACTACTTTGTTTTATTATAACACATGCTATTGTACAAGGGTTGAACTAAATATAGCATATAGTAATCTCGTTCACTCTAATACTTTTTTTTTTTAGTCTATAAAAAACTATACATCCTTGCATAAGATATCATCGATCAATTCAGCATGCTTAAACCGGAGAATAAAAAGATAAATTGGGGGGAAGGGTGGAAGACAAACACAGAGAGAAGAAAAAAGAGAGCTCCCATCTTCAGTGTCCCCAACCAAGGGTAAACATGATTTCGGAAAGACATTAAGTGCTAACAATTCCTAGCAAACTAAGGTATCAACAATCAACTCAATGAATGCACAGGAAAGATGACTAAGTGACAATGAAGAATAAACTAGAATAAACGAGCATGGGGCATTGCAAGTTATCCACAATGGCACAGAAATGCATGTTAACAAATAAGTCTCCACTTCTACGATAATTTACAATCAAACAAGCAACTAGCACTGTAACTAAGAAGTAATCCAAGGGAAACAAGAAAGGACGATCTAATATAATGGACAATCCATCTATGGTGAATTCAACTATTTTATCGTGATGACACCATTTCAGAAAAGAGCTTGTCAAGCCAAAAGTAATTCGAGAGAAATCTACTATCCTTGACCAGATATGTTTCAGACTCTAATGTCCATATAAAACAATCTTATATCCTGTTAATCTCTTAACAAGAACTTATAATACCTGGGTGCCACTGCCGTCGTCACTTCCATCTCCAATATTGAAGCCAATGCTCTCATTGTCTTCTTCTTCTTCATTGCTCCCGGTGTTGTTATCTGATTTTTGAACACTTTTTGACTTCACAGATTTTTGGGTCTGCGTGCCACTTTCACATCCACTACCGCTAGACTAAGAGAAAAACTAGATATCAGCATGACATAATTAATACGAAATATCAAGTTCCCAACGAAAAAGCCATATCACATGGAAAATACACGCGAACCAAAATTCTATGATATTGCATCCGGCATAAGTTTAGGCAGATCTCATAAAGGAAAGTGACATCCAGTATAGATAAGTAGTTTAGAGGACATCAAGAGTACTTCACTCTTAATATTTATCCATCTGTAATAAGCCATAAAGTCAGTTTATCAATGCAATGCAATTGAGAAGGGACACACGAAAGTGAAAGTACTCACACTATGACATCTTCTCCAAACATGTTGCCAAAGGTTTTTAAGCTCATTCTTCCGAATGGGCTTCACTAAAAAATCGACAGCACCCTTTGACAAACATTTAAAGACTAAACCCATTGAGTCATGAGAAGACATCACTGCATACGTATCACATCAGAATCAAGAATTCAATTGATTAGCTTGCATAGAAAGATAAACCTGCTTAAAAGCTATACTATTGATAAACTAGACACTTCAAGAAACTTACTAATCACAGGTATATTCTTCCTTGTTTTATGGCTCATAATCTTGCATAAAAGACCGATGCCCGATAAGCAAGGCATGACCAGCTCTGTTAAGACAAGATCTATGTGATTTGTCAGATCTTCTAGCACCTTCCATGCGTGTAGTCCATTTGCAGCTGCAATAACTAAGAATGCCGACGAAGAAGAAAGGATGGTAAACAAGAAAAGAACATAAAACCAATTGAAATTCAGATCACAGACAGCAAATTTGTGAACGGATATTCAAGGATGGTAAACCAGAAGAGAACATAAAACCCAAATGAAATTCAGACCATAGGCAGCAAAATAAAGGATATTCAAAGCTCAACCGAATATAAAGATATAGGAGATTCAACAAATCCTGACCAGCGGGGAACTGCTAACTTTGCCAGATAACTATTTGTTTACTTCCAAGATACAATAGAGTAACAGAAGAGCTCACAGCTGAAGGAAGCCTTAAATTCATTCCTGTATGTTTTCCATATTTGCTACCCAGAAAAATGAACAATGGAAAGTTATAGTTTTCTTCATCGGGAAGAAATATAAGTCTGAAATGTGGTGAATCAAGAAATGAAGCACTACACACACATTATGTCAGATCTCCTAGCATCTTCCATGCGTGTAGTCCATTTGCAGCTGCAATAACTAAGGATGCTGACATAGAAGAAAGGATGGTAAACCAGAAGAGAACAAAAGAGAACATAAAACCCAGTTGAAAGTCCGACCATAGGCAGCAAATTTGTGAAAGGAGATTTAAGGCTCAACCAATTGTAAAGATATAGGAGATTCAACAAATCCTGACCAACGGGGAACTGCTAAGTTTGCCAGATAACTATTTGTCTACTCCCAACATACAAGATACAATAGAGTAACAGGAGCTCATAACTGAAGGATGTCTTAAAATTTTCTTCATCTAGAAGAAAAAATAAGTCTGAAATGTGGTGAATCGAGAAATGAAGTACTACACACAAACATATTATGTAAGATCTTCTAGCATATTCCATGCGTATAGTCCATTTGCAGCTGCAATAACTAGGAATGCCGACATAGAAGAAAGAATGGTAAACCAGAAGAGAACAAAAACAAACATAAAACCCAATTGAAAGTCAGATCATGGGCAGCAAATTTGTGAAAGGATATTTGAAGCTCAACCGATTGTAAAGATACAGGAGATTCAAAAAATCCTGACGAATGGGAAACTGCTAAGTTTTCCAGATAACTATTTGTCTACTCCCAAGGTACAATTAGAGTAACAGAAGAGCTCATAACTGAAGGATGCCTTACATTCATTCCTGCATGTTTTCCATATTTGATAACAAGAAAAAATGAACAATGGAAAGTTATACTTTTCTTCATCTAGAAGAAAAAGTGAGTCTGAAATAAGGTGAATCAAGAAATGCAGCACTCACACACACACACACATTATTAAGGCATGGGCCAACATATTAACCCAACGCACGCATTGAAAACAAAGGCAACCTGAAGAACCAATAATCATATCCGTCAAACAAGACATTAGTGACATCAACTTCCTAGTACAAAAACTGAGAAGCAGGGGCCAGGGAATCAAATTGTGCACTATTAAACAAGGAGCTATATCAAAAAAAAAAAAAAAAAAAAAAAAAATGCAGATTCATCAGGGAAAGGAATTACTTCCAGTGATAAACAATTATTTTTTCAATCATTAGTAAGCAACTGAAATTAATACTTCCTAAAAGGATTTGTATCCATTGACCTGCAGGTATATGAATCATATAAACTAGTGCTCTTCCTAGTTTCAAATAGGATTAAAATGAAAAGCATGTAATGGAGACAGTTTCTTATAGGGAACCTCCTTTTGATAAATTGGAAACTATTTTTATTTTTTAGGATAAAACTTCAAGAGGCCAAACTGTTTCAAGCACGAGTTGATGATGCTAGTAGAGAAGTGGAAGATTTAAAGAGCATTGCTATTGCAGAGAGACAAAAAAAGACTATTACATAAGTAGAATTGCCCAGCTGCATTTTACCGGAGCTGGGAAGGAGAAGCACAAAAAGAGAACTGAGGAACTCCAGGCTTTAGAAGGAGCTCATAGAAAAACTCTAAGCTCTAGAGAAAGCTAATCAAGAATACTCTAGCTTGAAGGTAAGGATGGAAGCAGATATTATAAAGATCTTTGTTTAAAAATGGAACCTGCCACTGTGATGATTAGTATCATCTGGGATTCTTTCACACTGTTATCTCTTCTATTCTCCATACTTGGAAGTACTTAAAATTATAGGCTTATATATTTTCAATCAGTCGTGGTAGTTCTTTTAGGCGTTACCTTTCAAGTTTTATCCCTTCCATTTATGTTTATACTGTTAGCTAAAGTATGTACAGTGATTTAGACATTTGCTCATGCAATGAAATTTGCATTTCCTAACTAACAAAGTTCACATGTTAACAGAAACTTCAGACCATAAACAGTTGAAATCGAAAAACAAATAATAATCATAATAATAATATTTGAAATGTAGATGCATCAATAACCAGTCATGTGCAGGGAGAAAATGTTTAAAGAAAGACCAATTTCCTGACCTTCATAACTGCAATTTCGAAGCAGTGCAGTGACTAGATGGCGAGTGGAGTCATCGTTTTCTACAAGCAAAACCTTGAGGGACCTAAGATGTAGAAATCTCTCCCAGCAGACCATAGATCCTTGAGGCTGCTGTTGCTGTTGTATTTGTACAATGTCCTGGGCTTGAACAGTAGGATTTCGCCCATCTTCTGCATTTCTAGTCAATCCATTGACCTTCAACTCATTTTCCTCCACCGGTCTCTGTTCCCTTCCAGACACACCATCGCTCACACTTCCATTCCCATCCTGTGCGTTACAATTTGGTCCTCTTAACTCTTTCACTTTGTGCCTGTCGGCATTAGCACTCATCAGGGTTGGTACTTGACGTCAATCAGATTCAGAAAAAATAGCTCTATGCAGTGTTCAAGAACCCCAAGGCAGACTATGGTGGAGGATTGGAGACAGATTCAGTGCATATTCTAAATCCAACAAGGAGCCTCAAAATCCAATGGTCGCTTTCTCCCTGGAAAAACCACCGCACCTTAAAACCCTAACCATTACATATGAACAAACAAGAACAACACACACTGCAAAAACAAATGTTTACAGACGTTAAGTAATTAATCCAAGAAAGTGAAGAAACAACGTAACTGAACCCGACAGATTAATAAATCAATTTTAACAAAACAATTATCAAACCCTAAGTGAATCAAACCGAGAATCTCCGGACATTAGCAGCAAAAAACCTACGTTCCACAAAACCGATCTACAAATTACCTAGAAGATCAACGAACTAATCTATACAAACTTGATGTAGATTCATCATTGACTTTTACTGAAAAAAAAAAAAAAAGATGAAAAAAAAAGCAAATAAAACAAGTATGGATCACCAAAATCGACTAGCTACGAATCAAACAACCGCAGCGTTAGAAATGAAAACATGCATGAAGAACATCACCATCAGAACTTCACCAATCTCATGAAATAGATCGATCTGGAGGCTGGAGAAGACAAAAGAAAGGTCTCAACAAATGGAGAATCTAGAGATTAACTTCCTCTTCAATCCAGAACTGGTTGAATTTCACCTCTATGCAATTTTCGAGTACTGTAGCAGTGACGAAGTTCTTGACCAGCCTCGGAACCCGGAAGCCAAAGGTTGAAGAAATGAGGTAATGGCCGAATTTTCTGTTTTTTTTTTTTTTTTTTTTTTTTTTTTTTCCTTCTCCCTTCAGAACTAATTGAAGATATAACAAAATAATAACAAAAAAAATGGAAGAAGATATTGTAGAGAGCTCACGGAGAATGACGTGGACAAATTGAAGCTCTGGGATGGTTTAAATGTGCCACGTATGACGAAGATATTTCCAACGTGGCCGAAAACTCGGGCCACGGATTTCAGAAGCGGAACGAAATCTAAAGCCGCGAGCTAAAGAGATTGTATGGATCCGAAAGATTTAGTCGGGACACGTGTCGACATTTCAGAGCCGATTTACGAAAAGATTCGCGGATATCAATAGATTTGGCTAATTTTTCGTCCATTCCCGTTGGCCAATAACTTTTTTTAAAATACGCACGCACACATATTATAATTTCTTTCACTATTGTAAATACACCTAAATTAAAATTTTGACTGGTTTTTTATTTTTTATTTTTTATTTTTTTATAATTAATCTTATTTATCGATTAGGTTTCTTATAAAAACAAAATCTACCAAAATTTAATAACAAATAAAAAAAAAACCTTTGTTATAAAATAATTTAAAGAAACGTTTATTAACAAATTATAATATTTTTTTATGAAATTAATTAATCAAAGATAAAAGGATAAAATAAATTAATTAACAAATTTTAAATTATATTAATTAAACATCAGTTTTTTTAAATTTAAATAACTGAATATCCAAATTGATTTTTTTATAACAGTTTAATTTATATTATTACAATTTTATACGTCCTTGAAATTTGTAATAATATTTTCAACGGCAATAATTGATAACGAAGAGATCAAAGGGGAGATTCTACAGAGAATTTTTGTCTATTTTTTTTATTTAATCATATATATTCATTTTAATGGACAATTTCTACTTTCTAATATAATTTATATTAAAAACTGTAAAACATAAAAATAAATAAAATAAATAAATAAAAACTTTGGTATTATTTATTATATTTAATATTTCTCTTGAATATTACGTTAAACCGTGTATTTAAATAAGTTTTATGCACCCATGAAATTTATGAATGGATGGTTTTAACATATGGTCAAATTTTATTAACATATTTAAAAGTTTAGAATTTTAATTAATACCGTTATTAAAATTGATTTTTCTCTAATTATTATCGAAAATTTTATAAATCTTCTTGACTGTTTAGTAGAATTTAAGATAACAAATTTATTTGAGATGAACTAAATGTAGCATTTTGAGCTCAATAGACTGTCTATTGTGTTACATATATATTTATTTAAAAAAATCAAATTTAAGTGTTATAATTTAAAAAACTTGAAATTTAATTTATGAGTTTAAATGTTTAAATTAATTTATACGATAGAATATATAGCTTGTGATTAATAGATTATTTATCACTTGTCACAATCGCACTTTAATGGCAATGGACTTGCGATTGTGTGACACTCACTTCCCACCAACAAGTGAGTTAAGTCTATTCGTTATTACGTCGCCTACAGTCAAGCGAAGTATACTCAAGCCTCAGGCTCTGGTTCAAAAAGAAAGTTTTAGAAAATGGGCAGAGAGATTTTGAAAGAGAATTTTGAAGGCAAGATTTAAGAAATTAGAATTGGTGTTATATGAGAATGTAAGCAAATGTCAACAACAGCTTACTGCATATAACTATTAGGTAAGGAAATGTTGTGAGTTTTACCAAACTGTAAAAAATACTTAGTGAGGTTTTATCAAATTATGAAGACGAAATTCTAACTTCCAGGATAAAATTATAATTTTCTCTCCAAACTAAATTAAAAATTTTTAACTCTGAAGTAACAAATTTTAGGATTTTTTATTTATTTATTAAGTTCAAAATATTTTTTTAGATTTTTGAAAAAAATTATGAATTTTTACACAAAGTGGTATTTTTATTAATTTGAAAACTAGAACTAAAAGATGAAAATTGATTAAAATTGTTTGTCTAATTTAATATATAATACATAAATATATATATATTAAAGATTTAAATTATATATATATTATAGATTTAAATTGGTACACTGCGACCGGTAGTAGGATATCGGCAATCATGACGGAACGTGAGACGTCGTTTTCTAGTGTAATTTTAACAATTTATTATTATATTATTTTCGGCCTTCGAGGATGGTACAAAAATAGTTTGCGCATCCAATAAGAACATGCCACGTTGCACCTCTGCGATTCGGTAGAATTACACGTGTCAATGTCTCATCATAAGATCTTTTACACGTGTCAATAATTCATCCAAAATCACATGCTAAATTAATTAAAATATCCATAAATTTTATACTTCAAAAAATATAATTATTAGTATTTAAAATACAATTTCCCTTTAAAAAAAAAAATTAAATTATTACTGTTTCACCTAAAAATAACAATATTATAAAATAATTTTATTTCATATTATGGATTAATGACGTTGAATAATCAGAAAATTGTCATAAATTAGGATGGCCTTATAGTATTTGGAGTTTTTCAATTTATTTCCTGTTGTTTACAAAATTAAAATTAAGTCCCTCATAATTTAACAACTTTCAATTATACCATTTTTGTTGATGAATGTTACAATTAGTCCGCTATAAATTTTCATAACCCGAGACTTATCTGGAATGATTTTTCAAATGCTTAAAAACAGAATTTTGACGAACATTATGTTGAGCAAATGATCGGGAAAGTATGGAGCACAGACCATCTTGAACCATCAAACTATAGCAGTCAAGAGATGGTATTGTGCCCTAGATTCAATGTGTGCAGCTGTGTAAACTTACTGCCTGGCAAAAACTAGAGCCAACCAGCTCGGCCAGCTGCAATAGAATGAATTAAAAAGTGTGGAGCACAAGCCATCTTGAACCACCAAACTATTGTAGTCAAGTGCTAGCTGGTATTGTGCTCTCTGGTTTCAATGTCTGCAGCTGTGTGAACTTACTGCCTGGCAAATGCTAGAGCCAGCCAGCTCGGCCAGCTGCTATAGAATATATACTCGGGTGGGGCATTTAGAACACTCTTCAAGACCATATGCTATGGACGGGAAAGAAATCTACTCCCCTCTCAAACAGCTCAAGCTCATTGCTAACAGATATTATTCTCTTTGGGCTTTCTCTTTCGAACATCCCTTCAAGAGAGGTTTCCACACTCTTATAAATAATGTTTCGTTTCCTTCTCCAATCGATGTGAGATCTCACGCTGTTTTACTAAAAACCAACCCCTTTCGAGAGAGAGAGAGAGAGAGAGAAGAGAAGGTGAAAAGGATATGGACATGGGTGAACTGCATTGTAAATAGTTCCTCCAGCCTATCCCTTGCAGAAGGGTACAAGAAAATTTCGTCATTACGAAGATTTAAGATCCGAATCTCAAACAGATATAGACATAATTCCACAGAGAAAACCCAGAAGGTTTAAGATACTATAAGTACAATAATGCACTTGCACCAGATCGATCCATGAACAAATCTACTAAAACTGACACAAGTCTAGTCTAGCTTTAATGTAACTTCTCTTTATAATGAGAAACAAATGTTTCATTGATGGATATGACTTATACCAAAAAAAAGAAAAAAAGAAAAAAAGAATGACCCTGAGGAACTAGGGGTTTCTAGAAGGCCTGCCAATAGATCAAAGTATCACTTAATCTATAATCTCAAAATGAGAAGAAGCATTTACATAAATATATTCCATAAATCTGTCAAAAGAGAAATTAGTTGAACCAATGAACAAAACATCATAAAAATCATCAAATGGAACAATGTAATACTACTGAATATTATGGTACAAGAATTCAAAATCATTATTCTTCTAGTCGAGATAGATACTCAATGCTGTTACAAATCCCTGTTTGCAGCAAATCTACTCAACGAAATTAGAACGTGTGAAATAATTCTCCTCCCTCCTTCCCAATTGGTGAAAAGAAAGAACATAACAATTTAGAAAGAAATAAATAAATCTCAAGTTTGTTTAATTTTCAGTTTTTTATTGTCCTGCAAAATTGTTTGTGCCTGTTGTATATGTGGAAAATAATTAACTAACCAATCATTTGCCGCACTGTAATTTAGGCTGCTGCAGAAAGTTTCTCCTCAAAATCATCAAGTTTAAGAACTTTCAGTAGCTTGGGCCAAGACTCTGGGATGCCACCTGGTAAGTCGAATTCCAACAATTTCCCTCTACTACGGTAATACTCTTCAACAGGTTGACTCTGATGCCACACACAAAAACAAATAGAAAACAAGAAATCGTCAATAGCTTAGAACAACATCAGAACAAACATCGTGACAAGCGTAAAGTAATGTTATTTTCCCCCTTAATTGATCACTGATATTCAGAATGCAAGAGAATTGGAAGCTACCTTTTCATTATACACTTGAAGACGCTCTTTTACAACTGTTTCGGTATCATCTGCCCGAGTAATTAGTTTAGACATGCAATGTGTGGGGGGAAGCAGTGGAGGCATACTCATTCCAGGATTGCCATTTACACCCTTTACATTAATGGAGGCAAGATTGAAGTTTTTTCCACACTGACCACAGATTCTTCTCCCAAGGCATTTCTCAAGTAACACATCCTCTCGGAGCTTTAGATTAACCACCAAGTCTATATCAATCACCTCTTCCAAAATTTCCTAAAATGAAAGCAAAGAAACCAGAATCTAAGCTGGGGCCTGTAAAGATTTCAGAACAAAAAGAAGTACGCAAAAAGAAAACAGAAAGATGACGTAAAATGGAAAAGAAAGAGTGAGGGAAAATAGAATCCCATCTCATAGTTATCTACAAAATCAGAATCAGAAGGCTTCAAGTGTTTATTGTTGCTTACTCCACTCAGGATTTTAGTCTAAAAAAGCAGAATTAGAAGGAAATTAACATTTTTCCGTAGTAAAATCATTTATTGATCTTTTCAAAAAGAGGTTCAAGATCATGAAACTTGAATTAATCTAAGGAGTTCGAATCCAAGATTTTATTTTCATTTACGCAAAAATTGAAAATGGGTAACTACTATGGAGCTAGAAAATATATGGCACAACTACACATGCAAGACAATGAACAGTGGAGGTGATAAGGAAATGACTTTTTGACAATTGGTTTAAAAGATGGACCCGCTTTAGAATTAGCCGGAAAAGCTTCTGTATGAAAAAACCATAGCCAAATTACTAATATTATTAGACCAAAAACGATGAAAGAGAAAAAAAGGAAAGAAAAAGTGAAAGCTTAATGACACATTTCATCTTTACCACAGAATACTCACTGCTTGTCTAATTGTCCGAGGGAAACCATCAAGGATAAATCCAGATTCACCTTTCGCCTCACCGGCTTCAAGTCTCTTGGACAACAAGTTGATAATGATCTCATCCGATACCAATTTACCCTGGTTAACAATCTCTGATAGCTGCATCGAGAGAGATTAAAATGAGACAAACAAAGACAGAAAGGGAAAAAAAAAAGCTTAAAAACTTTCATCGTGCAACTGTTACACGTTATCATCATAATTTGAAAAAATGAACACAATGATTGACTAAATCGCCAAATCGAATCTACTATCAACCCTTCGAGATACTAACGCTCAATATCAAAGCAGATTTAAATTATCAGCTGCAATACGATCCAGACAGATTACATAAATAAATGAAAGGGGAAAATACCTGGCGAGAAAGCGGGCTGGAGGAAGCGAGTTCTTCGCGGACGAGATCTCCGGTGGCGATGTGAGGGATACCGAGAAGGTTACAAAGACGACTAGCATAGGTCCCTTTGCCGACGCCAGGGCATCCAAGAAACACCCATTGAACGTTCCGATCCTTGGGATCTTTGCGGGGAAGATTGTGGTTTAAATTAAAAGGAAAAGTCGTAGTAGTAGGAGAGCTGAGTTCAGCAGCAACAGCTGAAGAGAAGCATCTCCTGAAGAGAGAAATGGATGAAAGAGACGAAACCGAAGAGGATTTCGAATAGCGGAACAAGGCCTCCATGGATACTGCTCTACTGGAAGTATCCGATGGTCCGAGGGAGTTGGAGATGATGGAAATATGTGCTTTTAAAACTAGGGTTTCGTTCGTTACGCGCGCGGATTCGATGAATGCAATAACTCCCGTCAGACTAAATTATAAAATTTTTTAATTTCTTGTTTTTTTTTTTTTTAAATAAAGGTTTAATATTCACAAATCCCATAAATATAACATTATTTTTCAATATTTAATATCACTTTTTATATTATTTTTTTTTTTCTAGGTTCGTGACATAATTGGTTAGCTAGTAGGTCTCATAACGGTGAGTTATCCTGTGTTTAGGGTTTAGGGTTAGAGCCTCTGAGTTATCCTGTGTTTGAGTCTCTCTCACGCCATTTTTTTTTATGTATTTTTTATTAAATTTAAAATGTGAGGTCTCCTTTTAGGTCTTTAATGGACTTTGCTCGAAATGAGGAATAAGGCCCATCGAAAGCCTTTTCTCATTTTTTCTATTAATTTTAATTTATTCCGAAAATATAACATTAGGTTGTTGGACATCCTTGGGTGGTGGCGCAGTTGGCTAGCGCGTAGGTCTCATAGCTTTGAGTTATCCTGAGGTCAAGAATTCGAGCCCCTCTCACCCCAATTTTATTTTTTTCGATATTTTTTCCACATGAGGAATAAGTTTTTATTTTTATTTTTTATTTCTTCCAAAAACATAACATTAGGTCATTGGACATCTCGGGGTGGTGGCGCAGTTGGCTAGCGTGTAGGTCTCATAGCTTAGAGTTATCCTGAGGTCGAGAGTTCGAGCCTCTCTCACCCCAATTTTCTTTTTTCGATGCTTTTTTCTTCATTATATTAAAATGTGAGGTCTCATTTTGGGCCTTGAACGGACTTTTCTCCACATGAGGAATAAGATCCCGACTCTTTTTTTTTATTATTTTTTATTTCTTCCAAAAACATAACATTAGTCATTGGACATCCCGGGGTGGTGGCGCAGTTGGCTAGCGCGTAGGTCTCATAGCTTAGAGTTATCCTGAGGTCGAGAGTTCGAGCCTCTCTCACCCCAATTTTCTTTTTTCGATGTTTTTTTCTTCATTATATTAAAATGTGAGGTCTCATTTTGGGCCTTGAACGGACTTTTCTCCACATGAGGAATAAGATCCCGACTCTTTTTTTTTATTATTTTTTATTTCTTCCAAAAACATAACATTAGGTCATTGGACGTCTCGGGGTGGTGGCGCAGTTGGCTAGCGCGTAGGTCTCATAGCTTAGAGTTATCCTGAGGTCGAGAGTTCGAGCCTCTCTCACCCCATTTTTCTTTTTTCGATGTTTTTTTTTCTTCATTATATTAAAATGTGAGGTCTCATTTTGGGTCTTGAACGGACTTTTCTCCACATGAGGAATAAGATCCCGACACTTTTTTTTATTATTTTTTATTTCTTCCAAAAACATAACATTAGGTCATTGGACATCTCGGGGTGGTGGCATAGTTGGCTAGCGCGTAGGTCTCATAGCTTCGAGTTATCCTGAAGTCGAGAATTCGAGACTCTCTTAACCCCAATTTTCTTTTTTTCGATGTTTTTTTCATTAAATTTAAAATGTGAGTTCTTTCTTTTAGGCTTTTGGAATAAAGCTGAGCAAGGCTTCATTTCTTCCCAACATCCTTAACATTAGGTCGTTTGCCAACTTCCTTTATCATATATAGACTTTACTTCACAAAGGTAATTACAAGATATAGCACATTATCATTATACCATTAACAAAAAGAATCATTCTTTGGTATTGATCACCGATATTCTATTATACCCCTATTTCTCTGCAGCCAGTCTTTCAGTGATTTCTTTGTAACCTTAAGCCTCTGTACAGCTGCTGGTTTCCTAGTGGTGTACTTATTCCTTCCCATAATTCCATTCAGTTTTGTAAGCGACATGTTAGAGCTTTCTGAACCAGCCACTTCATCAAGAACAGTTGTAGGTCCTGCCGTAAGAACTTCAAGCCCCAACTCGTATTGCAAGAGTTTGGTTATTGCATCTCGTACTTCAAAGTTCTGTTGAACTAAATCTGGTTCAACTTTACTCACTCCTAAGACGATGACTATATCATCTTTTACTGATTCTCCTGCAGCCAAGAGAACAATGTTAGCACCCCTAAAGGATCAAAGGACGCTGCTAAAGTCCATAAGGGTTCAGTCCTATGTTGGCTAATTTAGAGAATGATCATGAGTTTATAAGTAACGAATACATTTACATTGGTACCAAGTTATAAGTAAATCCAAAGCAAAACCATGAGAGCTTATGTTGAAAGTGAACAATATCATACCATTGTGGAGATCTGTAATTCCTAACATTCAGTACTATTCTTAGAGGTGTGCTTAGACAGATGGTCCTATTCTCGCAAGTAGATATGTTTTGGAGTATGACATTACCTAATGCATAATTCTCCTTGATCATTCGCAAAACCGCGAGAACGACGATACGGGCTTCGACCTGATCACATTCACCAGATGCTTAGTTTCATGCAGGCATACTTTTGAAATTTGAGATAATTTAAACAAGGCATATTTTAAGGGCAAACTGGTGCTGGTTTTCCAAATAGAAAATTCAGTTCATGCTATTATGCGAACCTTTGTGAGATCCTGAAGGTCAATCGCTAGGCTTTCGATAAAACTCTTCTGCAGATGCTCAGCAACTTTTTCAAGAATTAAACATCGTGGTTTCCCGATGTCAGTTCTATTACAGGGTGCTGTCGCCTCCTCTTGCTGCTGATTGTTATTCTGTATAACTCCTTCACACCATTCTGCAATCAACTCCTTGAGATAATGGTCGTCGGATTTGAACCTGAAAATGTTTTGGTCTGAAATAAATGTCCGTTCATATGCAAAGAAATCAAAGGCATCTTCCGGGCATTGCATAAATGCTCGCTAAGCTGGAAGAATGGAAAAAGACTGATTTATTTTACTTCATTGTTGGCAAACACTATACCTATCATGAATAGGAGACTAAATGTCAGTAGCGGAAATTGGATCTCGACATGATTCTATTGTGAAAAAGGAAGATCAAATCTAGATTAAATTACAAGCTTAGTTAATGAATTTTCAACTTTATGTCTATTTAGTCCATAAATTTGAAGTGTCTAAAGGTCCATAAAACTTTAAACTTCAAATTTGTCTAAGGTCACGAACTTTCAACTTTATATCTAATAGAACAATTAATTATAAAAAAGTTGAATACATTAATGACCTATTAAAAGTTTAGGTTCTTATTATACATAAAAAAAATTCAGTTTTATATTTAATAGATTATTTACTAATAAAAAGACTAAATATGTTAGGGACATGTTACTCAAAACAAGAAAGTTTAGGGGCCCATTGACACAAACTTGAAAGTTCATGAACTAAACTTGTAATTTAACCTAACATCAATTTTGTATACGTTACCCTGATTTCCTCATGTCCTGGTAAATAGCAAGGCATTGCTGTACTTCGTGTAATGAGCCATAAGTACTGCGGGCTCTCAGAAGTGTACTGTAGGTCACCTGCAAAATGAAAGCTACCATGATTATGGATGCCTCTCTTTTCCTTTCATGGTTGGTGGTCCATAGCACTTAAATTCTTAGCTGCTAACGAAAGACAATCAAGCTAGCAGATGGTTTGTGACTCTTGCATGTTGAACGGAAAAAGAAGATCAATACTTACTAAATTTGGCTGTATCTCAAATCTTTTCATTTCTTCAAATAATGAAAATGCCAGCCTCCAGTTTTTACATCCAACGCAAACCTATACCATTGCCAATGACAAGGATGTTTTAAGAAAATAGCCAACTAATATATACTGGTATGGGGGCATCACTATAATGAACTCTATATGTCCGTCTAATGATCATGGTTAGACTTAAAAAAGTATGACAAGAGAGATTGAAACCTTGATAGCCGTCGTGTATGCAACAACATCAGGATCGACTCCAGCCATACGCATGGTTGTCAAGATCTGCACTGAAAATAAACATTGCAAGTGAAAAGTGCATTAAAACGAAGCTAAAAGATCAAATACAGAGCCATGTATCTTGTAAGAATCAAGGAAGAAACCATAGAAGCATTCAGCAAGACCACACCAACTAGAATTATATTCTCAAGGCTAAAGCTACCCTTATCCTCTATCCTCCTCAGCTGTCTTGGGAAAGAAAGTTTTTAGCCTCCGGGAGAACAGGTGATGGATAGAAATGTGTAATGAGCAATGAAATTTTGACGACAATGGAAAGTATACTCAATCAACAACGTTGCCAATGCTAAGAGGAAAAATAACTTAATCGAGAAGAAAACTACATTTTTTACCTGCACAGCACTTTTCACGTCACGAGATCCTCCACATATGTCAATCAAAATTGACCAGCTAATGTGATTGGGTGTAAGACCAACACTTTTCATCTCCTCCATCAAAGCTTTAGCATGGTAATAATCAGTACCACAAGCTTTCATTAGAATATTATAGGTTGTAATTGTAGGTTTGAAAGTAAAATTCCCAGCAAACTTGATTTGATGTACATGAGATTGAGCGTTAGGCATATTAGTAATACACAGTTGAGATGTTGGATCAGCATTCAAATTGTCATCGGTGCTGTTTTTTCTCTCTATATCATCCCAGAGTTCCTTTTCCTTCCAGGAGCGAAATAGACGAAAAGCTCTATCAAACTGGCGAGCTTCGACACAAGCATGTAAAAGAATATTACAACACTGTGTATTAGGTTCACATCCTGCAGAAACCATCTCTTCAAACAATTCGATTGCCAACTCAACAAGACCCGAATTAGCACATGAACTGATCAATGAAGACCAGGTCACCATATTTGGTAATACTCCGGCTGATTGCATGTCTTCTTTGACTCTGAGTGCCATTTTCCACAATTTCGCATCTGCAAAAACCTGAATAATAATAATAAATCCTCAAAATATGAGATACTGTACCATAGTATTTCACGGCTAGAATTTTTACGAATGAAATTTATACACCGAGTATATCTTGCACCTTTACAATTGTGCTGTAGGTGAAGACATCCAACTTCAACACACCTGTTGTTTCC